TCCTTTTGTCGAAAGGTACTTGAGGGAAAAGAAGTAAATGCGTTTGTCCTTTGATGCCGACGTTTTGCTTTGTTGTAGTTTGTGGAGTTGTGAGGAGTTTGCATGTTTTGCCGAGGGCAGTCTCTCAGTCCCTCACATTTTGGGTTTTGAGGGACTGTGTTGATGTTTTTTGGGGAAGTTTTTAACACTTTGTGAATTAACACTTTGTGATTTTCCCGAAGGGGTCATCCAGTCCCCCCCACTCCCTGAGGCACATGTAATGTGGTGAAAAGGACTAGAGTAGTGCCTATTTTTATCTTAGGGCTGAAGGCTGACATTTTTCATTTCATTTTGGGGGGATGCCTCGTTAAAAACCTCATTAGGAAAAACCTTGTGGGAAAAAATCCTAATGAGGGAAAAAGAGTGCACCGAATTCCCCCAATGATGAATCGAAAAGTTGAACCCTTGGTGTGAGATGAAGGACAATGTTGATGCCGAAAGGTGTCCGTGAGTTTAGGGTCTTTCTTCTAGTTTAGCCGAAGGCTGGTTGTTGATATCCCGGGGATGCCGAGAGGAGTCCCTCAATCATTGGGGCTGAGGGCGTGTTGACATAAGTGATAGTTCCTGTGTTGCCGATGGGGGGTTCCCTAGCTCTTGATAAGTTGGAGGCTGAGGGCTCCCGGGGAGTCCCGTTATCTTTATGCCGGAGGCTAACCATTGATGAGAAGGTGTGATCCTGGGGGGTTTCCTGGCTCTCAATACGTTGACTCCTATTGCGATGTCGGGGGCTCCCTTTGATGAGGGATCCAAAAGGGTTAGCCCGAGGGCATTCCGAATACTGTCTGAGGGGTTTCATATGAGGGCGCCTTTGTAACACCCCGGCCCCGTAGGCCCCGAGGTAGTTACTTCTGACCTCTAGTACTGTCCTCACAAACCGCCACTAGCCTTTTCCGCACACTTTGTCCTCACTCGTGCGCGCCCTGAGAAACTTCCCAGGGGGTCACCCATCCCAAGACTACTCCCGTGCAAGCACGCTTAACTTTGGAGTTCTTGGTGATGAGCTCCCTTAAAAGGAGATGCATCTTGTTGGTATGAGTAGTACTATTAACCCGTTTAAATTAAATCTCAAGTGTTACAGCCTTAGTATGCGAAGAAGAGCCGTTGGGATATGACCGTTGTAATATGACCGTTGGAGGTGGCTATCCACGTGGCATGTAGTTGTTGGATGGTTTCGGGCGGGCGTCACCGGTTGGGTGAAACGACGGTACGTAATGATGACTTTGGTGACCGGGGCCCCGACTATCGGCCCAAGCCCGGATTGGGGAGGATATAAATATCCCATGGCCAGGGCCATTCCCCCTTACACATCCTTGTTGTAACGAAGCTTTGGCAAATATTTTCTAGAGAGAGAAACTCCCCTTCGATCCAAACCAAGCTCCCGAGGTCAGTCCTTCTTTTGTTCTTCGCTCCAGCTACATACTTAGATTTCCCGGCCTTAGATTAAGTGTTAGGGTTTTTTAGGAAGTCCCCCTGTTGTAGAACCCTTCAACCTCTTCTACACAAAAATGTCTCTGCAAAGCGACTCTTAGGACATCTCGAGGGAGCTTTCGGTTGAAGCCGAGAGTATCTCAGACGTGGAGTCTTCCAGCGGGCAGCCATCGGTAAGTGGTGATTCCGCCATTGCTATGGAGGTGCAGAAGGATCTCGTCGCCGAGGCCGAGGAGTTCGAGCGAGTAGTTGAAGACGAGGAGCTTGCCTTCGCGATGCAGACCGCCGAGGAAGAGGAAGAGAAGGAGAGGAAAAAGGTCACCATCGCCATCCTCCCCCCTCGTGATGTTGGTGAGGCAAGTTGCTCTCGACCGTTGAACCCGGTCCCTCTCCGGGTTGCCCCCAGAAAGAAGAGCAAGAAGAAGACGGGGGCTCCCACGAAGAAAGCAGTGTTGCAGACCAAGGGAGGCTCGTGGGTATATCGGAGGGGTACTCATGGTTGAATACCGCCGCCCCAGAGATGACGTCGAGGGCTGACAGGGCGGAGTGCTATGTGATGCAGCTGCACGTGGAACCCTCGGCGACGGTGGTGGAGCTGGGGCCAAATGACGTGCTATCTCGGGCTTCTGAGGGGTGTTTCGTAGTGCACGTGCTCTCAATCTCCATGGGCCTTCGATTCCCTCTACACCCGTTCCTCCTTGAGTATCTGATGTACGTTGGCCTAGCCCCCTGTCAAGTCACCCCAAACAGTCACTCATATATCACCGGCTTCTTGGAACTCTGCCGTTCCCAGGGGCAACTCCCAGCCTCGAGTTATTTTTTTCAGAGCTTTAACCTTTGCCGGGTGGGGGGGTCATGTAAATTCTGAAGGGTTCGCAAACCTGCAACAACTTGCCCCGTGGAGGCTATCTGATGATGTGTTGTCATCCCACAAGGGTTGGAGGGATCGGTTTTGCTATATCAGGATGGTGGAAAACCCATTTCCGGGGGAGCTGCGGAACTACTTCAGACGGCATCCGAAGATGGAGGATTTCTTCCTTTGAGAAAGAGGGAAAAAAGATCGCTGCTATCCCGGAGGGCCGTGAGAAGCATATGACGATCAAGGAGCTGATCGTCGAGGATAATTTCTATGACCTCAGCTTCCGGCGCTACCGCTTTCTGGGGGGAAAAGGACGAGAAGTACCCCATTCTCGAGCGAGCCTTCGAGGGCACTGGAGGTAGTCCCCGGAGGCTCCGATTTTTGTACTTAGGAAAATTTTCGTGTTGGTTTGGTTGTCCATCTAGACCCTTCGATCTGACCCCTTCTTTTTGTTTTGCAGGTGCTAACATGGATGTGAACTCCCTCTTCGCCATGAAGAAGCAAAAAGGGAAGTCCAAGAAAACAAAGGAGCCGGCTGTCCAGAAACCGGTCGATGCCTTCTACAGGAAGGATGGGGAGGAGCCCTCCCAAGTTGTGGCTGGTGATGGAGCCGGGGGCTCGAAGAAGAAGAGGGTCGGGAAGGAGACCTCTCCCCCGGCCAGAAAACATAAGGCTACCGCCTCCGGCAAGCAACCGGCTTCTGATGAGGTGATTGTTGTGGACGACGCTAACGGCTCCATTCCTGTTACTAAAAGCAAAGATGATGTTCTTTCAATTGCAATGGTGCCAAGAATAAAAGAAGAGGAATATGTTATAGCCTATGAACTAGAGAGTAGCTGGGGGTATCCCCAGAACTGCCTGAACTTAGTATGCCGTGTTTTGAAACAAGAAAGCAAGTCGGTAAATGTGATAAGAGTGACTCATGTAATCAAAGTAATCCATAAGTAGTCATGCATCTAAACGTCTTCTCGAATGTAAAACTGAATAATAGATAGATTATATACAAGCGTCTGAGGATGCAATAGACTAGACAGTTTGGCATGTTCTAAAAAAATCAGAGAGCAAGGCCACTATGAAACAAATGGTTAGTCATAGAAAAATTGCTTTCCCAATACACATATACTTAATGTGTGTTTTGGATAAGTGCAATCCCTCCCGCATATGTCCATCAAACCCCAAAGGTAAGAGCAGAAAGAAGATAAATGGCAAAATCCAATCTACAATTACAAATGGAAACATGGAACTTAGGCATTAGATAGATCATAACCCGGGAGGAGAAGAGAACACAAAACCTCGATTTTTTTTGTAAGAATAGAACGATAATCCAACTTGGCACCATGAGGCTGGCTCGAAAAGACACTAGCCTAGCTAGCTAACCTTTGACAGAAGCAATGGGGAAACAAAAACTAGCAATGCATAGATAGCAGTAGTTGGTATGTATATGCATACACAAAAGACTCCCCAAAAGCAAAACATCCCCCGGTTATCAATACATGATAAAATGGCCGGGTGCATCTCTGACCTTGTTTACGATTATGGGTGCAGACAAAATCTACTGCGGTGTTGGGTTTTTAGACAGCTAGAGAAGACGAAGACACTTGACTTAGCAGGGCACCGGCGCGGCCTCTGTGGGAGAAGGGAGATTTACTTAGTACAAAAACATGGGTTTTCCCCAAAATAGGACTAATTAATTTAAACATTCTTAAACAGGACTTTTTATGTGTGATTGGACCAAAATACCACCACTGCCGCCCATGGACTGCTGCCAGCTGCCAGCCACCAGACTTACGGCCACCGCAGCCGGCCGCCGGCCGTCGTCGTCGGAAAATTCCAAAAAAAAATATGGCAGACTGACAGATTCTACCTCCGCCGCTGCCGTTATTTAAAACATATGTATTGTCTACTTATTGTCTATTTATTGTCTATTTAATGTCCGTTATTTAGGTCAATTTAATAATCCGCCGCCGTCACCGGAATCCGCCGCCACTGCCGCCACCACTGCCGTCACCATCGGACTGCCCCGCCACCGACGGCCTGCCTTGGTTGTGCAAGAAAACTAGGGGGGCAATTAATTGAGTTAATTAGTTAATTAATTCAATTAGGGGTAAAAATGGAATGATTAGTACTATTTAGGGAAAACCAAACATTGAATCCTATTTTGGGAAAAAACCTATGTTTTTGTCTTAGCCATGACAATTTTCTCGTGAGAGAATGCTCGTTCAGACTGGAGAGTGTTTCGTGGAGTGCAAGAAAAAGAGCGAGTATTGCCAGTTAACTCTGTATGCTAAATTAAATGGAAAAAGTTGTTTATATACCTAATTTGTAGATGTACATCCTCTAATTATCTTTTTTTTACTCTGGAAGGCACACCACCAAAATAAGTGGGGTAAATGCCGGAGAACATTTACCGGGATTATATTAAAATAGAAGAGTATTACAAGGCCAAGTAAAAAGCATACATCCAAAAAATAATATTAAGATTAACGCATATTACGAAGAGAAGGAATCCCGAATAGATCCATAAAAAAAGCATTCTTGGCACGGACCGGTAGCTGTTCAGGCCGGGAAAATTTCTGGAAATGGGCCGAAGGTTGGGCCGCAATGAAATGCGCAACCCAGTTTGCCTCACGCCAAACACTCAAATAGGAAACCAGCTTATCTTCCGACAACAGCAACATAGCCTTTATTGCGCAGCTCCATCTACCAAATCCTGATAATACTCAACACCTCCGTCGAATCAACCTCCACCTCAAAATCCGAGTAGCCTTCCTCAATCATCCAACAAATTGATTGCACCGCTGTTTGAACTTCTGCGTCGATAGACGAAGACGCTTGCAACGGAAAGGAGATTGCACAGACCATGTGACCCGTCTTATCCCTCAGAATCGCCCCTCCAGCCGAAGAAGAGGGTGAGTAACTTGCATCCGTATTTAGTTTGAAAGTTTGAACTGGTTTCCTCCATTTTATTGCCCGAATGGTTGGACGCCTTAATTTGTATGTAGTAGGTATCAGACCTTCTTCAATAAGCACCCTGTCAATGTCATGAAATCTACATGTTGATAGGCCAACAGACCAAACCTGAGAGTATAATTTAATTTGCTTAATGATGCCAGCTGAGGAGGGGGTGACCTCCTCCTGACCCCAAACTAAATTAGTGTATGTCTTCCATATGTGCCAGCATATGATACCCGGAAGACAGTGTTTAAAAACATCATCCATCCTCTTAGTGCCAGCTTTAAGCCACCAGGACATAAGGACTTGCCTAATAGACTTAGTTTGAAAAAGAGTAGGAATTCCAAAAATTCCCATGAAGTAGTCCCACACTGGCCTGATTTTTCCACAATTGTAAAAGATATGGTCAACCCCATCAGTGTGTGCTCTACAAAGAGGACAAATTGAAGGATTTAACACAAAAGAGAACCTTGCTAAGTTATCAGTGATAGGCAGTATGCCTTTAACCAACTTCCATTGAAATAATTTGACCTGAAGGGGTAATCCAGGGTGCCAAATATGCTTGAAGAAGAAAGTAACAGACCTATCCTCTCTCACAACCTCATAGGCAGACTTAAAGGAGAATCTTCCATTAGTTTCTCGTTCCCAAATTGGACTACCATCCGGATTAAAACTACACAAAGAGTTAGCCAGATCATCAATAAACTTTACCACTTTACTATATATCTGTACTCAATTATGGACTTACGGATTAATACCCATCAGTCCATGAGGAATGAAGTACGTGACAAGTCAAGTTTTACTCCTAAGTCCTGAGTCCTGACTCTTGAAGCTCCATGGAGCTAAATCATTATTTGTGTTTTGCTAATTAAATTTCCAGTACGTGACTGTAATGAGTGACTTTTCAAGTCTTTCGGAGTGTTTGGACATTTTTGTTTCAATTTGTGGTTTGACTTTAAATTAATGATATTGTTTTTTATAAACGTTTGGCTCAAAATAGCTAGTGTATGTCATGAAGGCATATTAATGTTATTGAGCTTATTAATTGCTTTCAAGATGTTTTGATGATATTTTAGAAATGCTATCAATCAATGCTAAATTTTCCAAGGCCAGGCGGCCGGATGGACTGTCCGATCCGCTAGTATGGGCGGGCATGGACATGGGAGGTAGCCCGTTTGATCCGGGTCAGACCCGCCCACTGAAGTGGGTAGAAATTTTAGGTAAAGCCCGACCCAAGCCCGTGTGTGTACAGATCTAACATCATTGCCATAACTCACCTGATCATTTCCTATGCAGATTGTTGGTTTCATTGTATTTTAATTTTTTTAATTGTTTGACACGTTTTTAAGTTTGTAAGTATTCACAATATTTTAACCTTTTAATGTTTAGTTGTTCCACAATTAAAAAAATTGTTTGATAATTTTAAATTGCCTTTTTCTGGTTTACTTAGATTTGTTAATACTTCAATGAAATGAAAAAAAAAATGAAAATATATAAAATAAAGATAACATTATATTGTAGTATTATTTCTAAATTGTTTTAGAGTTTGTAAATAAATGTTTCATGTAACCATATGTGATGTGATGCATGTATTATGTATACACACATATACTTCGTATATGGCTTTGCTTTGATGTATGGATCGGAAGAAGCATAGGAGGCTTTGGGGGAGTTAGGCCACTTAATAAAGGGAAACTAGAATAGAAAAATTATCTTCTACGCATTCAGCAGGCAGCGAAGTGTCACGTGTAGATGTCTAAATAAGATAATAAGGATTTTAACCTTTTTAGTACTACAAGTGTTTTAATGCGATTACAGTGAAATAATGTCTACTAAAAGAGTAAAGGTGTAAAGTTAAATATTTAATATGTTGAATGTATGACAAATAAGTATAATCTAAAAATTATTGGGTTAATATTGCTATACTGGTAAAACAAATTGTTATTGTATGAATTAGATTATACGTCGTATCATTCGTATGATATAGGCATGAAATTATTAATGTGATGGTATTGATATTACTAAATTATTTATTTTCTTTGATTTGTCATTTTTATTTATAGATTCTTGGTTTTTGTTATTTTATTGTTTAAGATTTTTGTATCATATATTAGTACAAAAAGAAAGAATATGTTGAGATAACTAGTGAAATTCTCTTTCAAGAATTTTTCCTTTGGACGTTCACGTTATATGTGCAATTTAAATATGCTTTCTCATATGATTTTAATGATTTGAATATAATTCTTTTTTTTTGTTTGGGGCCTCCAAAGTCCTCAAGATGCCTCTGGGAAGAAGTAAGTTGCTGGAGAAGCAATTTGAACTCTCGCTTTGTTTGTCCACCTTTGAACTTCGAAGCTACTTAGACCACTTGAAGTGGTGTAGAATTAGGAATCCAAAATGTTAAATGTGGAATTTTTGGACACTTAATTCCTTGTTGTGGTTGGCTAAATGAGGCAATAAAAAATGGAGACATCGTGGCACCTGTTGTGGATTCCTTGTTTTGGACACTTAATTCCTTGTTGTGGTTGGCTAAATGGGGATAGAAGGGTTATCTTTGAAGGGTCCAAGAGGGCAAAATAAAAAAGGAAGGGGGAGGGGTGGCACCTGTTGTGTGCAAAAGAAAATGGGCAAGTGGCCATGTTGCCATTTCTTGTGTGCATGAATTGTTTGCCGAAGTGATGTCATGCTGACATCGTGGTGACGTCATCGATGCATCATAATATCCCAATTTATTAAAAATTTATATAAATTTTTTATTTGTTCTTCAAATTTATCAAAATATATATCAAAATTCAAAAAATTTTATGATCTTTCATATGACACCAATATGTAATATATAAAATTAAACAAAAATTCTTAAATTTTAATTGTTAAAGTTTTCTTCAGTATAAAAAATGATGAAACACAAATTTTTAATTCATGGAGTCTTCACAAATAACTGAATATTTTATAATCAAACTCTACTTGAATGAACTAAATTCATTTTTTGTTAATCGAAAAACATTTAAAAAAACTAATGAAATTTATTTATTTTTACATCGAAATTTGTATTTTTTATTTCATAATTATTCAGGAAAAAACTAAAAGAAAAACATTACATTAATAATATAATTAAATTTTTACTAAATTGATATGTAAAAAAATGTGCAGAGTATATTTTATTGAAGGTGCCGGAATGCAGAGAAATAAGAGTCAAAACATTATTTTAATATGAACGGTGTCCATTTTTGACATTTAGCCTCTCACACCGTTCCAAATCATCTAACAGTGCTACTTCCGTGCTCTTCTTTTTGCCGATGTGGCTTGTAGCCTGCAGGCCTACCGCCTACGGCCCACTTTGTTACTCCGTATTTTTCATCCCGTAGGTGTTCATCAGTTAGTTGTACATGTGGTCTATTTATGAAAGGAAAATTCTAACTTAACTTTTTTTGGACAAAGCTTTCTAAGCTACTCCGTATTATAGTATCTGTTCTATAACATGTGACTTCCTCTTTGGAAATATCATAGTGATGTCATCAGATCACACGGTACTTGACAACTTTAAGTTGATTATTTTTTTTAAAAAAATATTGAAAAGTGAAAATTGTGATATTATTTTCATTGAAAAATTCACTATGTTTTTTGTACAGGGCAATGGTGGTCACATTCTGATCCGGCCCATAGCATCTGGCATCTGCCACCAGTGTACATGGTCCAAAGTGGCACAGTGAAGAGCGAAGGGAAAGCCATCAGGCCTAGAACGAACAAACCAGCAAAGACCGTCCCGAGCCAAAACTCACAACTAGGGATGTGGAAAGCTTTGGACGACGCAAGAAGGACGAAGCTCAAGAAGCTCATCAGCTCACGCAGTTCAACAAAGGACGGCAAGCACGTAGCTCAGTTCTTTGGTGCCAAATACTCTCCTAATTCCTAAACAAAGGTAATGTATTCGATCTTGTCTTAATCCTAAAAATTTAATGCAACTTGAGAAACCCTAAGAGGTTAATCACCGATTCTCCCCATTTTCTAAACGCCACAACGAATGTTCAATTTATGTGCTTTTATTATAATCCTACCTGCGGCTCATCTTCTGATAGAGAGCAGAAATTTGGGTTCAATCGGTTTGGTAATGAAGACATGCAAATACGGTTTGAGCTGACAAACAATAACGATAATGTATTATGATTAATGTGACAAGGAAATGAAGATGTGGTGAGGGACAGAATTGAAGTTTGAGAATGAATACACAGTTTAAAGTACCTTGAAAATTGAGTGGTTATTCCAAGAGTCTTGGAATCTTATTACTTTTCTTATACATTTCATTTTTGCATTTTTCTACTTCTTTCCCTATGATGACTCAATGTGTAGAAACATTTTGGTTGCAAAATAACCTTGCATTGCATATGAGAGGCAATTAAGTAGACCTTAGGTAATTCAGCTATTTTTTAATTCTGGCTTTTTTCTTTCACTGGTTATTGAGGTTACGACAAACAGGTAAGCTCCTCTAAAGAATTTTTTGAATGCTTCTACTTTAAGCTTCTTTTCTTTCGAATGGAGCTTCGACTTTGTATATACTCCGTATTTCACTATGTCATTTTGGTCCAGACATTCAGTTACTATAGCTTGAGTAACTCAATATATTTTTTATAGATTGAATTACTCCAGCTGCATATATTTCTGTATGGCCAATAAATTGCAGTTTTTTGAATTACTCAAACTGCTATAAAGAGTTTTTATTCATTGCATTGCTGCTCTTAATTTAGCTTTCGTTTTTGCCTTTCTGTTTTTCAAAAATTTGCTCAATCTGCCCAGAGAATAGCTTTTCATATACTTGCTCTTTGTTCATGACTCTATATCTACATATAAATTAGTTTGCAAAGAGGAGATTATTGTCCAAATATAGAGTTTCAAAAAAATATTTGGCTATACCAAAATTTTGGTATAAAATGCTATGAGTTCATACCAAACCAGAATTTCAGTATGCCGATATATTCGGTACGGTAAAGGTATGAACTTTTTCATATACCGATGATTCAGACTTTCAGAACGGTTTTCGGTCATCATTATCATTACACCAATGCCGCAAAGGCTCCCACCTACGGCGGGGTAAGAGGGTCAGATGTACGCAGTCTTACCCTTGTACTAAAGCATAGAGAGACTGTTTCCGAATGACCCATAGTGAAAATTGCCGTCGAAAATTGCATGGACTGATTGCTGCTTCATAACACAGAAGCGCAAACAATTTAGTGAGTCATTTTGCTTTATTCCATCATCTTCTCAAGCCAAAAAATAGTGTGTCTTTGACTTTAGAATGGTTTTCTGGTTTTCTGTATGGTATAAAAATTCAGAATACCATACTAAATCAACCTAGTTAGGCCCAACTCTGTGCACATAATTCCTCACTCATATATTTTTTGTGATGGGCAAAACAGGTAGGCCCCCATTTGTCCTGTCTATAACCTTCCTAGTAATAGAAGTTCAGATAGGATGAATGAGGAAGAAGTATATTCTCATTAAACAGAAATGATGATTACAAAGAGTATTTATAGAGGTTACAGTACAACTGAAATTAACTAACTAACTAAACATAACTAATACAATCCGTATAGTATATCTCACATTCCCCCCTCAAACTTAGTGTGACTTTGCTGGAGATGCAATGACACTAAGTTTGTTTCTCAAATTAATAAAGGATGAAGCAGACAGGGGTTTTGTGAGAACATCAGCCAGTTGATATTGAGCAGGAATGTGGAACACTTGTAGTTGCTTCAGTTGAACTTTCTCTCTTACAAAAAATAGATCAATCTCCATGTGTTTGATACGAGAGTGTAGAACCGGGTTGTGTGCCAGTTGGACTGTACTTTGATTGTCAACACACAATTGTTTCTTGGACCACCAAGAAATGATATTTGGACCAAGAAATGTGCAGGATCCTGATGTGGACTTTCTGTCAGTAGGATCAGAAGCCCAATCAGCATCACACAAAGCTGAAATAGGTAAAGGCATAGTAGATAGAGGAATAGGTTGGATGAGAAGTCCATGTGTAATGGTGCCAGAGAGATAACGCAATATATGCTTGACTGCTTTCCAGTGATCATGCAGAGGTGCAGCCATGAACTGACAGACTTTATTAACTGCATAGCTAATTTCAGGTCTTGTTAGAGTAGCATACTGAAGAGTTCCTACTACAGATCTGTAGAAGGAAGGATCAGGCAGGGATTCACTCCCTTCATGAGTGAGTTTACAAGTACTGATCATAGGAGTCATGACTCCTTTGGAATCTAGCATTCCAACTTGATGCAATAAATCTCTGACATATTTTGCTTGAGAAAGGTGTAGGCTTCCATCTGGCAGTTTCTGGACTTGAATTCCTAAAAAGAAATCAATGTCTCCCAGATTTTTAAGAGAGAAAGATGAGTTCAGTTTGTTGATGAGAGTTTGTATGGCTGAAGAGTTATTGCCAATGACAAGAATGTCATCAACATAGATGAGGATGTAGATGAGGATACCAGAAGATGCAAAGAGAAGCAGAGAAGGATCACATTTGCTTTGCTTAAAACCAGCACTATAAAGAACTGAAGTCAATTTGTAGAACCAGGATCTAGGTGCCTGTTTTAAGCCATATAGGGACTTGTGAAGTTTGCAGACCAAAGATGTATCTTTTACTTGAAATCCTGGAGGTTGAACCATGTACACTTCTTCACTTAGATCTCCATTAAGGAAAGCATTATTGACATCCAATTGTTGAATAGGCCAGTGATGAGATACAACAAGAGTAAGAAGTATTCTGATTGTGATAGGCTTTACCACAGGTGAAAAGGTTTCTCCAAAATCAAAACCAAATCTCTGATGGTAGCCCTTAGCAACTAACCTTGCCTTGAATTTATTCAAGGAACCATCTGCATTTTCTTTCACCCTGAAGACCCATTTGCATCCCATAGCCTGTTTATCTGGAGGAAGAGGGACTAAAGACCAAGTGTTGTTAGAAATCAATGCATCATACTCAGTTTTCATTGCAGCAGACCATTGAGGAGAAGTAATTGCCTGCTCGACTGACCTGGGCTCAACATGAGCTAATAGTAAGGTTGGATTAAGTCGTGGTTTAACAATTCCAGATTTGGCTCTGGTTTGCATGGGGTGAGTGTTAGTCAGAGGAGCATTAGATTCAGAAGAAGAGGATAATGAGTGTGATGCAGATGAAGTAGACTGTGAAGGAGAAGAAGTGGGAACAGAATTAGGCTGAGATGAATTAAGGTGTAAGTGGGAAAGGGTAGAGACAGATTGAGAGGTATTATGTTGTGATTGAGAGGGAGAAGAACCTTGTTGAGAAGAATCTGTTTGGGATAAAGAAGTGGAAGAATCAGATTGAGAAGAGGAATTGGAAAGGACAATGGTTATGGGAAAAGACTGTGAAGTAGTGGAGATACAGGGCTGGTGAGGAATTGAAGTGAAAAGAATGGGATAAGGAAATTTGGACTCATTAAAAACCACATCTCTGGAGATATAGACTTTCCCATAAGGTGAGAGGCACTTGTAGCCTTTGTGTTGGGAAGAATAACCTATAAACACACACTCTTCAGAGTGAAAATCCATTTTGTGTTTATTGTAAGGTCTGATAAAAGGAAAACATGAACATCCAAAGACTCTGATAAATGAATAATCTGGAATAGAGCCATATAGCTTAAAATATGGACTTGAATTTGCAATTGACTTTGAGGGAGTTCTATTTGAAAGGTGAACAGAGGTTGCAAATGCAGCATCCCAGAATTTGTGAGGTAAAGAAGAATGAGCTAGAAGAGACAGACCCTTCTCAACAATTGTTCTATGTTTTCTCTCAACAACACCATTTTGGTGATGAGTGTGAGGACAAATGATTCTATGTGTGATGCCTTTGTCAGTGAGGAATGTGGTAAAGGATCTAAACTCACCTCCCCAATCAGATTGAAGAGATTTAATGGAAACAGAAAACTGGTTGAGAACATATTGGTAAAAGTTTTGAAAGGCAGTAAGGGCATCAGATTTCTTTTTCAAAAAGTAAATCCAAGTATATCTTGTGTAAGCATCAATGAATGAAATATAGTAAGAGTATCCATCAAAAGATAACATGGGAGATGGTCCCCAAAGATCAGTGAACACCAATTCAAATGGTGAATGAAAGATGGTAGTAGAGGGAAAAGATGGAAGTTTATGTGCTTTACCAAGACAACAAGAGGAGCAGAAATCAATATTATTTTTATTAGTAGAAGTAACATTACAATGTTGCATTACAGATTTGAGAGCCTCAAAGTGAGGGTGGCCTAGCCTCAAATGCCACAAATTACAAGAAAGAGAATTATTACAAGACTGAACATGATTACATGACTTATTTTGAGACAAAGATTGACTAGAAACAAGAGCTGGAAGGGATTGAAACTTGTAGAGACCATCTGCACCTAGAATGCCATGTAGAAGGACCTTTTTAGAAGCCTGTGATTTAACAAAACACTCATGAGCATGAAACTCAAAGAAAACATTATTATCTCTTGCAAACTGACTAACACTTAGTAAGTTTTTGGTTATGGAAGGAACATGGAAAATGTTGTTAAGTAAGAGTGTATAAGAAGGATGAAAAGGAGAAGAAAAGGAAGAAAAACCATTCGACTTAATGTCCAAACCTTGACCATTGCCCATGAACAGCTTGTCAGTGGTAGCAAGTGGCTCACTATGTTGAATGTGGAGAGGATCAGGGGTGACATGGTGTGAAGCTCCAGAATCTGGAAACCAATTCTGAACATTAGGAGGTGGTCCTAGCAATGAAGTGTTTGGAGTAGGTTGATTTTGAGATGATGATGAAAAATGATAATTGGTAGGCCTCCAATTTGTATTCTGAGAGTGCTGATTTGGAATGTAGCTTGGTGTTGGTTGGGTAAACTGTGGATATGGATGAGGATGGGATGGAGAATAGTTATTGTGAGGATGAGGTGTAGAATTTGGATATGGAACTGTTTGTGGAGGATAAGAGCGATAAGAATGAGATGTAGGTTGTGGTAAAGAAGGATTAGATACTGTGTAGGTAGGATTATGGTTTGGTAATGTAGGATTAGAGACTGTATAGGCAGGATTATACCTGCGATAGCAAATAAGAGCACTATGACCAACCTTGCTACAAACTTGACAAATGACAGAACTGCGACCACCAGATCTGCCACCTCTTCCTCTGTTAAAACCTCCGCGGCCTCTACCTCTGTAGTTAGTGTTTGTACCAGGATTGTCATATTGAGCAATTTGTGCAGATGGACTTTCTGAGGAGTTTTGAGAATCAGTATCAGTTTGTACAAGTGTTTCTTCAAGTTGAGCAACATTGGGAGAGAATAAAGTCTGTTGCGAAGAGTCTCGAAGCTTTCTTATTCGCAGCTCTTTAGCTAGCAGGAGAGATTCAAGCTCAGATAAAGTAACAGGATCTAGAATGCTTCTGGATGTGACAGAAGATACGATTGAATCGTATTCTTCTGGGAGGCCTTCAAGGATCACGTTGATATGATCCTTTGTTGAAATAGGTTCACCAACGAAAGTTAGATTATCAATGATGGTATGAATACGAAGGAGATAATCAGAAATGGAGCGATCACCTTTTCTGGTGGTATACAGCTCGGATTTCAGCTGGCGAGCCTTCGCGACAATGTTTGACCGGAAGAAATGCTCGATTTCACTCCAGAGCTGATGCAAGAAAGTGCAATTGATGACACGAGCATGAAACGATTCCGAAAGAGATGCCAATAACCACGAAAACAGCATTTGATCTTGCTGTTCCCAAACACAGTAATCTTCATTGATAGTCTTTGTCGCGCCATCACCACTGATGATAAATTGATCTGGATTTTGAGGATTTTCAATGAATTTTTTAAGTTTGTGAGCTCAAATCACAGATTTGACATGATGTTTCCAGAACAAAAATTATTGGAATCAAGTTTGATTGGTAAGGGATGATGAAAGATTATAGGAGAATTTTGAGAGGTTGAGTGAGAAGAAGTTGAATCAGATGTCGAGTTCATCATCCTTGAAAACGAAGGTGCTCTGATACCATAGTAAAAGTTCAGATAGGATGAATGAGGAAGAAGTATATTCTCATTAAACAGAAATGATGATTACAGAGAGTATTTATAGAGGTTACAGTACAACTGAAACTAACTAACTAACTAAACATAACTCATACAATCCGTATAGTATATCTAACACCTAGCCTTCATTTGTGATTTTCATCATTCACCTTTCTAGAAATTCTAGAACTCGTCTCATTAGCTTTGTTTAAACTTTAAATATTACACCTAGGTTATACGTTTTCAATTGTGTGTATTCATATTTCATATGTGATGTGTAATTAGTGCGTGATGAAAAATAGAACAATTTTTTCACCCAGTTCCACATAAAGATGTAAAGAAGTATATTTTCTTCATCTCACTTGGCATTTTCAATTTACTATTTGTTGGTCAACAATTTTACTTCTTATTTTTCGATTTTGCATACCAATTGTTTACTAAATGTAATTTCATTTTTATGATTTAATAGAATTTATAACGTAATTCTAAAAAAACATTCCTTAAATATTATAGTTGTGTTTCACTCACATAAAAACAACGATCCTGTAATCCTTGCCCCCTGGAAGTCAGAAGGCTAATGAAGAGCCCCTTGACATCTGCTCGGCTTCAATCCTCACTCACTATCCCCACTGCCGTTCAATGTGAGATTTGTCAGCATAATCACTCAAACCTTAATTGTGTTGTGTAAATGTCTAACAAGGTAAAAGTAACGGTGCTCACTTATTTTGCATCAATAATATCTTGCCCGCCCTTTTCTCGGTATCAATTTTGGATTTCTAATTTAAACCGGACTGCATTTTTTACTTATTGTTCACCTTATTGTGGATTTTTGACTTATTGTTCACCTTATTGAGGATTTTTGACTTATTTACTAATCAAATATAAAAACTTTATATTTATTCTTGGATTTTCTCTCTCAGAATTTATAAAATTATTCATATAAGGGTGTGTGTGTATCATTTAGACTGCTTTAGAGTACCTTTTTGTCTTTTTGAAGGGCTATGTGCTTAACTGCTTTTGTGGTGTTTGGTAAGACTTAAATTCCTCCATTGGTGCTCATTTGGCAAAACTTTGCTACTATTTATAGGGAAGTTATGTTGTGATTGTGCCTTTGCATTTAGTGTGATGTGTTATCAAGCTTAGTACATGGCTCAAGAAGTAGCTGCCTGATATCTTTTGCTCTGCATTATTATTCATATTGTTTGGATTTTTTCTATGCAATAAGGTTTATTTATTCATGTGGAACTCTATAGACAGGAACACTATAGGAAATTTCTTTTTGCTTTTGTATATTAATACCCAGTATATTATTGTTCCATTTTTAATTTGTATGCAATAACTCATGACTTCACTTCACATAAAACATTTGGTTCTGGAGTTGGTTAATTGACATTTAGAGGATAGTAATGGTAACTCGTGATCTTTTTTGTAAAGAAAACAACAATGCTCAGTTGGTGACTAATGGGATTGGTTTTATAAATTCGAAAAGAATCTAAAAATTGCAAATTAGAACATATGAAATGAAAGCTTAATCATAAACATGAGGAATACCTAATTTGTATTCCATAGTTAGAAATACAAAAAAAAAATTGTAAGCAAATTGCCCTAAATAGGAGTAAAAGCGTTTTGCAATTCCAAAATAGGATCACTTTGTTTATGATCCCTAAGTTGGAGTACAACTGGCATGTTTGGAAAATACTGTCAATTATGGTAGGATATTGTCAGTAAGACAGTAACTTATTGATCTTTAGGGGGAAACCATAGTTCTCCTATTTTGAAATTTTACATTGCTTTTACTTCTATTTTGAAATTTTACATTGTTTTTACTCCTATTTCAGGAATTTTCCCTTTTTTATTACAGATGACTAGATGAGTAACAACTTATTTTCTTTACTCTGACAGTAGAAACTCGGATGTCTGATGATGTGGAGAATCCTAAATGTGGAAATAGTAAGTCACTTCATACTCCTCCACATGATGTCCAGTCAACCTGGTATGATAGCTTACTTCAACAAGCATCTGTTTATGGCATAGCAGTAGGCTATTGTATATCAGCATCTCTGTTGTCCATCATAAACAAATGGGCCATAATGAAATTCCCTTACCCGGGTGCCTTAACTGCCTTTCAGTACTTCACAAGTGCTTTTGGTGTCCTTGTTTGTGGGTGGCTAAAATTAATCCAACGCAACAGTCTTGACCTCCTCACATTATGGAAATTCTTACCCGCGGCAATAATTTTTTACCTATCGCTTTTCACAAACAGCGAACTTCTCCTCCATGCCAATGTTGACACTTTTATTGTCTTTAGATCGGCAGTGCCAATCTTTGTGGCAATAGGGGAGACTTTATACCTCCACCAGCCTTGGCCGACGATGCGAACGTTTTTGTCCCTAGGAACAATCTTTGTTGGTAGTGTTGTTTATGTCATCACAGATTACCAGATCACCCTCACCGCATATGGTTGGGCATTGGCTTACTTGATGAGCATGTCAATTGATTTTGTCTACATCAAGCATGTTGTGATGACTATTGGGTTGAACACGTGGGGCCTAGTGCTGTACAACAATCTTGAGGCGCTTCTTCTTTTCCCCATTGAGCTCCTCATAATGGGAGAACTGAAGAAGATCAAGCATGAGATTACGGATGAATCGGATTGGTACGGATTTCAAGTGTTGCTGCCCGTGGGTCTCTCGTGCCTGTTTGGTTTGTCCATTTCTTTCTTCGGGTTTTCTTGTCGTAAGGCAATCTCCGCCACTGGGTTCACTGTGCTTGGGATAGTTAACAAGCTGTTGACTGTTGTTATAAATCTTGTCATATGGGACAAACACTCTTCTTCTATTGGTACTGTGGGGCTGTTAATATGCATGTTTGGTGGCATCATGTACCAACGGTCAACAACAAGCAGTAATCAGAAGGGTGCAGGAGACATGGGCCCACAGATGGTGGAGGAGGAACAAGAAAAGCTGCTTGAAATGCAGGGCAGCTCGGATAGCATCAATATCGTAAAAGAAGTTGTAGAATCTGAAAGCGGGCAGTGATATAATACTCGAATAAAACTTACCTGGGATTCTTTTAGGGTCAGTGTGGATGGGAAGGGGTTGGAAGAGAAGTTTTGTTAGAGTCGGGTCTATATCTTAATGAAGCAGATGTTTCTGAAAACAAATAAAAGGCGATTGGAATGTTATATGATCACATACTTTTACAAGCAAGTCCTTCAAAGTGTTTCCCTGTGGATCTCTTCATCCAGACTGTTAGATGGCAGACATTTTTTCACAGCACTGATCACATATAGCCATATACTATGTTAATCTTTCAAAAAAAGAAAATTACAATTCAATTTATATCAAAAGATAGAGTACGGCATACAAAGCGCTTCCCTCCAAAATCCTCCATCCAAATAGGCCTGTATATGTCAGATGATCTTCACGGCATTGGAAGGTTTATGAACCCAAACAATGGAGCAGAGGACGTTGTCAATCTGTTATATGGTTACTCAACTACATCCAAAGCTTATTAGCAGTCTACTTCTTTGAAAGTCATGTTATATATAGCATGGAAGATTCTTTATTTTGAAATGTTTTGTTAAAATGATTCATTAGTCAATTGCAATTCTATCCGATACATGTGTACACTATGTGTATCCATTAGAAAATGGTTGTGCCATAAAGCGATTCCAAACATATACATGCGGCAGATTTGAAGGATTTCTAGTTTCCAATGAGACCACAAAGAGATTCCCTATTTCCCTGTGTAGCAGGTTTGGATCTTATAAAGCACTAGTTGAAGTTCCTTGTGTTCCGTTTGTACAATGGAAAATGGAAATGGAACTAAAATAATACTACCTCCGTCCCAATTTAGTTAGCCATTTTTGATTTTTTCAGTTAAAGATGGTAAACTTTGACCGATTATTTTAACTAACGTATTTTTGCAAAATTTAATAATTTTATACTTTTATGATAGTATTTTTAACAAAGAATATTTTTATATCATTTTCATATTATGAATACTTTCTCTATATAAACATATAATTAGTAGTGGACTCGGGCTGGTTCGGGCCAGGTTCGGGCCTGGGCCCGGCCGGGCCTCGGTTCTAGGAAGGCAGGCCCGGAACCGGCTCGGATAACCCCGGGTCCGGTTCGGTTCGGGTCACCCGCCCGGTTCACGGGCCGGGCCGCCCGGCGGGCCGGGCCGGGCCTATTTAATTTTTTTTTAATTATTATATAATTAGAATAAATCTTATTACAATTACAATATATTATATTCGAATTGAAGTATATTTATTTCAAATAAGAAGTACAATTGAGAATTAGGATGAATTTAAAAAATGTAATATATTTTGTAATAAAAAATCAATCGGACTCTCCGCCTTCGGTTGTTTCCTCCATAAAGTGGCGGGAGGGAGTGATGGTAATTTCTTGAGTTCTTCGTTGGGCCTTCAACCAATCGTGAAAGCAAACTAGTGTCTCAAGAGAGCTCGGGCTCAACCTCGTTCTAAAATCGGTTAGGACGTTGCCGGCCGCACTGAATTCTTGTTCCACGGCAACGGTTGATATCGGCATTGCTAGTACTTGCTTAGCCATCTTTGATAAAATCGGGAATGTTCTTTCATTTTCCTTCCACCACTTAAGAACGTCAAAGTCATCACCAACTTCATAATCAACATTCAATGTTAGATACAAAGAAAGCTCGTTACCTGAGCTTTGTTCAGTAGCGGGAGTTGCTCTACTTTTTTTCAAAAGAGAACCAAAAGCGGATTTTAAAAGTGATTTTCCTTTAGATGAAGAAGATGTTCGTTGCATGGGAGGGGGTGCATTACCATATTGTGCATGAAATTCATTATACAATTGATGAAATAAATTACTAACCTCGTTGAATTCTTGTTTAGGGTCGATGGGATTATCATCGAACTCTTGAGTTGGAAAAAAAGAAGCATAATAGTAATCTATACAATTTGCCAAGTAAGGAAGTTTATAACGAGGATCAAGAACAAATGCAATACCATATATATGCGGAATATGTGAATAATATTTTAAAAACTTTTGTTTCATGAAATCACAAAAATAACTAACGTAAGTGGCGTCGGAAAATTCACAAAAAGCGCCGGCGAGATTAACAGCTTCAACAAAAAATTCGTTTGCGGTAGGTTTATAAACATGACTAAAAGTTAGAGTTGCGTTATTAAAATATGCCAAAACATTAACAATTTTTTCACAAGTGTCGATGTCAGCCGGGTTTATAATATAGTTACAAGTTTGTCTTAAAAAAGCTGGAAAATGATCTTTATATCTAACAAGTACTTGAATTAAATTATAAGTACTATTCCAACGAATAGACAAATCTTTAGGAAAAGCACAATAATTCACACGTCTATCCTTCAAATATTGCCGCCATTGCATTTTTAGTGGAGTGTTAGCCCAAATCAATTTAATTCCCCCCTTCACTACCTCCAAAGCATTTCCTAATGCCGCTAAGCCATCTTGTACACACAAATTTAGAATATGACATGCACAACGTTGATGAAAAAATCTACCAATCAATGTAGAAGCACCACACAATTCACGTAATCTAGGTATAGCAGCAGTATTATTACTAGCATTATCAAAACCTACAGCAAACACCTTATCAATCAAATTATACTCAATTAAAATACGTTCAATGAGAATATAAATATTATCAGCAGTGTGACGATCATTGAATTCACGAAAAACAAGAACACGTTTATGCATATTCCAATCATCATCAATATAATGTGCAGTTAGACCCAAATAATATAAATGATGATAAGTATCCTCCCATATATCGCTACAAATACTAACACGTCCATCAAAGTTTGCGAAAAATATTTGTAATTTTTCTTTTTCCAAGTTATATTGCCTTATAACTTCTTTTTTAATCGTTTTGCGACTATAATTTCTAAATTGAGGATTTAAAGTACCTTGAGCATAATCTCTTAAAGCAAGACTTTCGGAAAAAATAAAGGGTAAATTTTCTTCAACAATTAAATGAGACATACCAGTCAAATGTTTTTTATCATCATAGGAAAAATTACCAAAGGGTTGAGAATTTGCAAACCTTGATATTTGTGTTTGCTTCCCCTTTCCTTTGTCTATTTTCGCATACTCCACAAAGTGGGCGGACTGAAGATGCCTTTTGAGACTCCCGTATCCGCCAGAAATTCCCAAGCTAAACTCTTTCTTGCAATGATTGCAACTTGCGTACCATTTTTCGGTTTTTTCGTCTTTCCTTTTTGTATAATTGTTTTCAATAATAGCAGATTTAGATTTCTTACCAATTTGGGTTGTAGTCGTTGAAGGGCCCTCGTCCTCTTGCTCATCATCCGGAGTCCCGTCGCACCCCGCGTCCTCCTCCCCATCGTCATCCTCGAGCTCCTCTTCATCGATGGTTGTCGGGAATTGTTGTTCTTGTGCAAAACGTGGATCATTTTGGGACAATAGGTGTTGTAGTTCCTCGTCGGACATCATCATACCATCTCGCCGTTGGTAATCCGTTTCAAAATCATCTCGACTTTGAAAAGAAGACTCGGCCCGCGCTTTACCTTTGCCTTTGCGTGAAGTAGATCGAGTCGATGCAATCTCCCTCTTGCGGTTGCGTTGGAGATTACCCACATCTACAGAATGTCTACCACGCTCCATCTTTAAAATTGAACAAATATTAGCAATTAACTAATATGAGAAATGTAAAAATTAACTAGTTTTGTTATTTTAATGAGATATGTAGCAATTAACTAATATGAGAAATGTAAATATTAACTAGTTTTTTTACTTTAATGAGATATGTAGCAATTAACTAATATGAGAGATGTAAAATTGTAGCAATTAACTAATTAACTAATATGAGAAATGTAAAAATGTAGCAATTAACTAATTAACTAATATGAGAAATGTACAAATGTAGCAATTAACTAATATGAGAAATGTAAAAATGTAGCAATTAACTAATTAACTAATTTGAGAAATGTAAAAATGTAGCAATTAACTAATTAACTAATATGAGAAATGTACAAATGTAGCAATTAACTAATATGAGAAATGTAAAAATGTAGCAATTAACTAATTAACTAATATGAGAAATGTAACAATTAAGTAGTTTAACTAATATTAATATGACAAATGAAACAATTAACTTTAACTACTTTAACTAATATTAATATGACAAATGAAACAATTAAGTAATTAAATAGATAAACGAGAAGTGTATATATAAATCAAATGTATAACTATATATAGTATATATAAATATATAATGTGTAAATATATTATAAGTAATATATAATATAATGTATAACTATATATAGTATATATAAATATATAATGTGTAAATATATTATAAGTAATATATAATATAATGTATAACAATATATAGTATATAATATAATGCGTAAAGAATTATAATATGAATGTGTATAAGTATATATTTATAAGTAGATAATTAATATTATAATATATAAGTAGATATAATAATTATATAAATTATATATATGTAGAAAGAATTTGGAGAAGATGAAGAATGAAGATGATTGAATATGAGAGATTAAGAGAATAGAGAATTTAGATTTTAGAGAGTAGGAAGAGTTGTAGAAGAAGAGGTGTAAAAAATGTATAGAAAATAGGAGTATAAATAGGTTTTTTTTTGTATACCCCACCCCCACCCCCACCCCACCCCCCCTAACCCCCCAGACCCCCCCTCCTATGCTCCCAACGGCTATAGAGCCGTTTGGGAGGTCTCCCAACGGCTAGTAGAGCCTTCAAATTTTTAATTTTTTTTTTTTTTGTGACCGTTGAGGCCTGGACCGGGCCCGGGCCGGCCGGGCCGGTTCACCAAATTATAAGCCCGGGCTCGAACCGCTACATGACCGGGCCGGGTGCCCCGAACCGTGACCTAACCGACAAACCGGGCCGGTCCGGGCCCGCACAGTAGCGGGCCGGTCCGGTTCCGGGCCAGTTGGCCCGGCCCGAGTCCACCACTACATATAATCGGTTAAAGTTAGAAGCCATTTTTTGAAAAGTCAAGTTTGTCTAACTAAAATGGGACGGAGGGGGTATTAATTTTGTTATTGGAATTCAGATCTGCACAGTTTTTTAATTCTTAGTAGATGTATACATATAACATGAACATTAAATGATATGTTAAACTAAATTTAGCGTAAATTTGATTTTACAGTTAACACTTCACACAGGCATGGCCCAGTCTTATGGATTTTAACGTTAAATATCTCTAAATTACAGTCTTCTGAATTCCGCTAGCCATACCTACCTATGATTCCCAACATGGTGAATTTCAGTCTTTCGAATTCTGATTTCTCCCTTCTTCAGTGACGGATACCTGTGAGAGGGTGTGACTTGCGAAGGGAGACGGGGAGAAGGCAACTCCAACTACTCAAGCAACCAGATCCAGAGCCAGAACTCCAGAAGCAAGGCCTGCAGCCTGCATTGGGATTTCTACCGAGCTACAGGTAGGGATGGATTCAGATTGGGACCGGTCGGAACAGCTGCAGTATTGTTTAGTACCAAACCGGATCGTCGGTCGGGACCGGAACAGGTCCATTGGGCCCGAACCGGAGGTAGGGGGCGGCCGGGCGGGGCTATGGGATAGGGAAAATGGGGACTGCCAGTCCGGTTCGGGATCGGTATTGGCCGGTGAGGGCTATATTTTTATTTTTTTTTAATTATTAAATTGGGTTGCTCCTAGCCGTTGCCGAAGTGCCAAACGACTCTATAGTCGTTGGAGGGGGGTTTGGGGGTGTTTGGGGGTGTTTGGGTACAAAAAAAATCTATATATACTCCTATTTTCAAAACATTTTTCTACACTTATTATCCAATTCTTCCTACTCTCTAATACTCTTTAATCATCTTCATATTCTCCAATTCTCTCTACACCTATTAATTAATATATATCATATCTATTTAAATTAATTATACAATTATTATATCTACTTATATATTTATTATCTACTTATAAATACATATGTTATATTACTTATATTTATTATCTATTTAAGCAAAGCAACCTTGTTTGTTTAAAATGAAAATTCCACAAACCTGAATTTTCGGCACGTTTTTCTCACAATATTTTGATTATTTCAATTTTCAAGTCCTTTCCTTCTTAATTGCTTTTGTCTCCATTATATATACATAATAGGGGCTTAATCTGGACAACCAAAATATTATTTTTTGAAAGGACAACCAAAATATATTATTAGAAAATACAGAAGCAAAATACATAATAAATATATATATATATAGGTCGATTGAGGTGGTATGATTTTGTTTTATGGTATTATTAAAAGTTGTTAAACATAATTAAAAGTTGTTAAAAGTAGGAAACATTGTATGGTTATGTAACAGGAAACATTTGATAATTCTAATACTAATTAAGGTTCTGTCTCATCCATCGGAACAATATGAATTATTAGTCGTTAATATAGAATTAATTGAGTGAACGACCAATACTGGACTTATTCAGAATCGACTTTTCTTACAATTTATATGAAAACCACTTCACTCCTACTTGTACTAATGATTTTAATTTAAAAACAGTGGACTGAAAATTCAAGAGTTAATTCTTTATTCTACAATATCACTACAATGATTTCTTGCCAAATAGCTAGCTTTTGTCAAAGTGTTTTTGATATAGATTCGGCCGAAAATTGTATATATTGTAAAATATTTTACAATGAATTTTGGTGTCAAAAATATTTATCAATCTCGTATTTTTTAGTGTATGACCTTTTAGTTTGGCCGAAAATTGTATATATTGTAAAATATAAACCACACCCCAACAGAGTCCGTATATCATATAGTTGTGGCTACACAGTGATCTGAGCACTGTTCAGTCAGTGGCATTTTCGTAATTTAAATGAAAATCACAGCTTCTGTTAAATGGGCAATAATACACTTTTAGTGAGCATCCAACTTATATAGTTGACATTAGAAGTCAAATACTGGACATCGTGATCTCTGCTTCATATCTTGTAATTCACTTTTTTTCTTATTTTTTAAAATATCTATAATGAACATGTATGAATTCAATATGAATCTAGTGTGATCTTATATTTTTTAAATATGCATGAATATGACATTTTAAAATGAGCATTATACTAACATCAAATGAGAGTATACATAACTTACAAAATGAGCATCAATAATTAAAAAAATCATTTAAAACCTTTAGTATGCTCAAATATTAAATGTGCACACATAACTTACGGAATGAGCATCAAAATATTTAAAATGAGCATTATGCAATAGGCATGGATACTATATTTTAAAATGAGTACTACATCAATATCAAATGAGCATACATAATTTATGAAATGAGCATTGGAAAATTAAAAAATTCTTAGTATGCTCAAATATTAATTTGTTTATGCTCGTATGAGTATATATAATACTCCCTTCGTCCCAAAAAGATCGATCAAATTGACTTTTCTTGGTCAATAGTAGTCAAGTTTGACCAATGATATTTTTTTATACAAAATTATTTAAAATATGAAAATTATATGAGGGTCTTATTTATTGAAAAATCTTTCATAAAAGTGAAAAATTTATAAATTTCACACAAATAGAATTCCTAAAGTCATTGTTTAAACTAAAATATCATTGATAAAAAAAAGTCAAATTGACTCATCTTTTTGGGACGAGGGGAGTATAACATAAAGAAAGAAGCACCATCCACAAATGAAATTGCACTTATGAGAAAAAGCATTGAATTCCAAATTAATCCATTGTTGAGGGTAAGTCCCGTAGATCCGAAAGCCCAACACGAACTTTGGATATATCAGGAATGACCCAGAATCAAAGCGTAAAAGAAAATATAAGATCTGAACTAACTAAAACTCGAAAGCTCACTTGTATTAATTAACCAATCTGATTACAAGGGATTTCCCGATCGGTAAGTCGGAAACTATGCTTTAATACAAGAAATAAGAGCAAATGATGCTATTCTAGAGCTTGAGTATTGAAATGCTTACCCTTACAATGACTTGAAACCTTCTATTTATACTAATGGAGAGCATGGGCTGCCTCTTGCTGATTGGCCGTTGTTCCACCGACTTGGTCATCCATGCTTCCACTTGCTGATGTCATAGTCTGGCATTAACTGCACCTGGCTACTTGCTGGTTGGCCGTTGCTCGAACGGGATGTTGGTTCGTACTGAAGATGCTGTAAAATTGGCCCAAGTATAATATATAGTCCGAACCTCGTTCGGTATGTCTTCTTATTGGGCCAACCTTTATTTGGGCCGAACCCCATTCGGTATATCTCCTTACTGGATCTTTTCATCATAGAGTGATGGGCCTGTTACTTGGGCCGGATATCTTGGGCCTTCCCGAT